CTTTATTATAAAGAAATATAAAATTTCTTTGGAATATCTATTTTTTGTATTGGCAAGAAGATCAGCTTTTATATAACTTATATTTATTATATACTAAAATATTATAACTCAAATATACTGTATATATAAAGCCTTCAATTTTGTTTAGAAATTAATAAGATTAAATATTTATTTTATTAATAAATAATAAACAAATTACTATTGCTTTTTTTATTTAATCTTATAAATCTTAGAATTGTACTAATTTTGATACACTTTAAAAACTTTAGTATATCACATTGGTTCTTTCAAACAGAATATCTTTTTGCTATTAGTTCTTTATCTTTATTTTTCTTTTAAGATAGAAATAATATATAACAATATATATTATATATATTTCTATTTATTTGAAAATTTTAATTATAAACACTTTATAGATCTAACAACTAAACTTAATAAAATTACTACTTTGCTTCTTTTCTATACAAATATTAAAACAATTTAAAATATTTATATTTATAATAGCACTTTTAATAAACAATTTTATATATTGTATATAAAGATTATATATTTATTAATTCAAGTTCAAAATAGTTTAAAAATTTTTTACAAGTTAATAATAATATTATAAAAAATTTGCTTTCTTTATCAAATTCAAAATTTATTAATAATAGTACAATTAATTTAATCAAGATTAGAAAAAATATAATATAAAGATAAATAGTTAAAAACTATTATTTTTAAATTTCTTTTAATAAAAATATTATATTATATAATTGTAATATAAAATTATATATTATAAAAAAAACTTTGATATTGTTAAATTAATCTGAATTATAATATATATACTGTAACAATCAATTAATTTTTTTAAACAATATTAATAAACTTTTATTTAATTTTCTTTTATACTATTTTTTATATTACAAATTTTTCAAAAAATTTTATTTAAATCAAAATTTAATATTAACTTTAAACTGTTTCAAATTTAAATCTATTTAATTATTTTAATTATTAAATAAAAATTTTATATAATAGATAGGGTTCTTAATAATACCATTTCAATACTATCTTGATACTATTTCAATATTAGTTTGATATTTAAATTTATTATATATTGATACTATTTTGATACTAGTTTGATACCAGTTTGATACTTTTTAAAGCCTTAATAATAAATATATTGAACTTATAAATCTTAAGATTGAGAACAAAAATATTATAATTGAATAAATCATAAAAAAAGAATTTAAAAGATTATTACTATCTGATTTGAAAGATAAATTATTTATTCTACAAATGTTTTTAAATATCTATAATATCTCTTTTTATTAATTATATATATTTACTAATTTAATATTATTTTGAGCTAGTTAACAATTTACAAATTTATTTTAATATTTGACTATAAACTAATTTTAAAAAAAGAAAAACTTGTTGTTTTAATAAATAAAAATATTTTTAATATATTTAACAATATTGAATCAATATAATCTATCTTTTTTATAATAACAATTCTTAATATAATTGATTTTACACTTGGTAACTTACAAATTCTCTAAATAAAATTCAAGAAAACAAAACTTTAATCTTTAATAAAATACTTAAAATTCTTTACAAAGTTTAAATAAAAAAATTAATTATTATTATTATATTACTTTTTTTAAAATAAAATAAAAAAAACTAAAGCAATAATATCAAATTAAAATAATATACTTTATAATACAATTTTTTATAAAATATTTAATACTTTAGAAATTAATAATAATTTAATTAACAAAAAATTTTCACTTTTATAATTATTTCATTATTTTAAATAAATATTAATTATTTAATATTATTTATATATATTTATCTATTCAATAACAATTAATATTAATAAATAATTGAAATATGTTAGAATTAATTTATAACATATATAAAAATGATCTTTAATATAATAATTATAAACCCTTATTTAATAAAAGTTTTATATTTAATATCTATTTGTAATTAAAAAAATATCTAAGCAAGTTATAATATTAAATATTTTTATTAATATTGTTTAATTGTTTTTATTTAAGATATAATTTAAATCTAGAAACATTAATTATTATATTATTAATTTATAAGTTATTTTTATTTTATTATTATTTTATCATTATCATTATTTTATTATAATTTATTTTATCATTTTAATATTTATTTTATTTTTTTAAAACTATTTTTTTATTATTATGATCCTAAAAATTGAAATTAAATAGACTTGCATAGACTTACATAAGGTTCAAAACATTATTAAAAATAATAGTAGGTTATAATTCACATATTAAATTTAATTGAAATCTGAAAATTGAGAATTGAATTGAATCAAATCTTAGAATCCTTGGTTACTATATTAATGATATTTTATATAATAGTTTAATTATAATTTATTGTTATAATTTAATAATATAAACTTATATTTAAAAAGTAAATTCATATATTATTTAAGATTAATATAAAAAGTAAAAATTATATTATTAATTTAAATTATTTAATTGGTTAAATTATTTATATTAAAATATATTTATTTTAAAAAATTGATACAAGTGTATCATGATCCTTATACCAATTTAGTACTTTTTTGAAGCCATATATTTAATATATAAAACACAAAAAAAATTTTAATATTAATAATTTATATTTTTTAAAAAATTAATATTTAAATAAAAAAGAATGAGTTTTAAATATAATCATTATCCATAGTATGTAATTGATTGTACATTGTATTAGCTAGTTTTACTTCAAAAAAAATACTGAAATACAGATTTATTGTGTTGGTAGTTACTTTGTTAATTAAATTCAGATTTTTGATATAATCATTCTTTTTTTGTTAATTAATTTGAAAAGTTTTTATTTTTATTTTATTTTTATTTGGATACAAATATTGATATTTTTGTGGCAGATGCACAAATAATTTATTGATATCAAAACAACAGATGTTGGAACAAAAGTTACCATTATGAACATTTAGATATCTTTTATATAGTATACTAATTTCTTTATCAAAAGTGTTTCAAAGATAAGTTTCTATCTAAAGGTAATAAATGAAAAGATTTGAATATGTTAAACTTGAGTAATGGCTATAAGTTGCGACTTGGGATTCAACCAGAGCAAAGCAAAAACCAAATTCCCGTGGATTGCCAAGCCTTGGCGAATCTTTGTAATACTCAAAGATTTAGGTAAACAAAAAATTATTCGGAGAATTGACCTGGATACAAAGGGTTTGAAATAAAAGTCAAAGATAATAGATAATAAGGTATGTTCTTCACGTGCTGGTACGTTGAAGGAGCTTTACGAAAGAGAGACCCTTTCATAAAAGTTCCAACATTCTATTCGAATGCATAAATGTCATTTACACTTGTGCCATCATTCTGCCAGGAGTCACGTATTTTGGATGTGGTCAAAAAGGTTTATTTTTTTTTTGTTTGAATTTCTAACCCGGGAGCGAATGATTCTGTGGCACACAAAATATATAAATATTATCTACCTTAGGTGGATAATGGTAAAAGAAGTTATTGGCGAATTCTATAGATGGGCCAGCATTCGGAATGTGACTCCGAATAGTGCAGTATTGTTGTGTGAACAGTTTTGCTTGTTTGTATACGATTTTCTATCGTGGTTCATTTTTAATTTGCGGTCTATTATCAATCCCCAAAATCGTGATCGTAAGCATAATTTTTGATATTAATTTTCACATGTATGTGGATAAATTTCAAATATTTGGAAATATCCTAGAATTCTAGCATCGAGTCAATCCTCATCGCTATGAAACGCCTAATGGCGAGGATAAAAGTATTCGGAAAGACAGAAATGGTCGACATTATACGAAAGGAAAAAGAAGGAGATTGGATTGGTCTGTCTGTCGGGGAGGTAGAAGCGGCCAACGTTGTGCAAGAGAGAAAAAACTCGAAAAAATATATGCCGTACAGTATATTAATTGGACGACGTTACGATAGTCATGAATCGATCTTCGGAATCACAATCGGTTCATCTATCCTTCATCTTTTCTTTAGTTGAATTAACCTTCACGCATACCTTATTTGAAATTTGTTTATTAGAAAATAAATAAATAACCGATCTTTTACGTGCATCAATTTCAAGACATTTTGTTTTACAAAGAAGTTTGTCCAATAAAATCATTGAGCTTGTCACCACAACTATCTTTCGCATCTAGTTTTCAGTATGCACCAATATTCTCATTTGCATGCGTACAACACAAAATATTATATAACCTGGGTAAACACTACAGTATTATGTTCGTGCGTATTCGAGATAGAGTCTTCGTAACCAAGAGAGCAGTACAAAATGGGTTATCGTAACAAAAATTTGGATGCGAACTGTTTACTCGTATAACAATGATCGCCTGGGAAAATAAAAATTATTACATACGCAAATTCACTGAAAAGGTTAATGAGTATTGGTTTCTGTAAATTTAGTGGTCTGATAACGGTACAAATCGGCAGATTTGTTGATAAACATTTCCCTAACAGGGGTTATTTTAGGTGAGAAAAAGAACCATTATCAATGAAATTTTCGTATGTATGTACATACCAGCTCACTTGTATTATGCAACAGGATTAATTGGGACTGGAAAAATATAATGAAAACTGCTATATCCGTACCTTATCTTCCCAAACAGACTTATCAACTTGACATTTGACATTGCATTGCACCAAGCTAATCACCAAAAATGTGAGGCACGTGATCCTCCTGATAAGCGGTTGTGTACGACACACATTTGACTTTTTCCACGGTTTTATAAATCTAATTATCTCGTTTGTGGCTATGTGATTCTGTCACTTATTTCTCCTAGAGGTTTTTTTTTTTTTTTTGCAATTATCCGGAACAGGAATCAAGATCACTTTTGATATTATAAAATGTAAGTATTTAATTTAATGATCTTTCGGAAATAATCAGTTAAATCACTGCTTTCTCCTTTCCTTTTTTAATTAATAATGCACACGTATTCATTTTTTTTTTTACAAGTTATAATAAACATGGTTCCTCCCCTCCCACCCGAGAACGTCAAAGAAATATTTGAATATTTACAGGATGATTTGGGTTCATTATATTCCTGTATGTTTGTAAACAGACAGTGGGCTCAGGTGGCCGTAGAGATCTTATGGAGGGATACAATGAAATTCCGTGATCTTTGTTACTCCACTCAACATGTATTAAAAATACTTTCCACGCTAATTTCTTGTCTACCAAAAGAATCTAAGGATATATTGAGAGGTCGGGGGATAAAGATACCGATAACTGCAAGGCCCCCTTCTTTTGATTATGCCGGAATGTGTCGGTATCTTGAATTCACTCACATCAATAACATGATAGATTCCATGGTATCGTCCACCAAATTGCCCGATGGAAATAAAAAATGCAATAAGAAGTTAATACCCGGGACGATGGAATATTGCAAATCCGGGACGATGCATAAATACACAAAGTATCTCATAAAGCAAGAGCTCTACAAAATGTTCATTAGTCGATGTAGTACTTTGAAGAAACTTGAGTACCGGGATAAAGATATTCTACTCCCATGCTTCCGAAATGCCGAGATTTGTCTGTCAAATCTATGCGAATTACATTGCAACTCCTCATTACCATCCGGAACTTTTTATCAGATGTCATTGATTTGCAAGAACCTTGCGAAGATAATCATCGACGACTGCACTTCTGACAATGAGGGGTTGGCCACGCTGATCAAAGTTCAAAATAACCTAAAGTCTGTGAAAATAATCGTCAAAGGGAACGCTTTGTGTAAAGGAAAGTTGTTCAGTCCCGGTAGATTTAATAGGTATGATGTTAACTGTAGATATACAAATATAGCCGATGCCATCTCCTTTCAATCAAAAAGCCTAACCCATTTTCACATTGGAGGAAAATTATTAAAGGCCATACCCCCAGAAAATATTTCGTCTTTGGTTAACCTACAATCACTTTCCATCACATTTCATGACGACATTGAGAACATTCTAACGTGTTCAACTTTTCCAAAACTCAAAGTGCTGGAATTGAAATTGTTGCCCATGTTAGATCACCTGATTCAATTTATCTCAAGAACCGAGGGACACCTTGAGATCATTCACTTTGAGGTCCCCTGTGTCTATCCATTTTATCAAATTCCTCTGTTTAATCAGACGGTGGTGAAGTGCTGTCCGAACATAAGATATCTAAACACTTGGTTTTACGGTGAGGATGTGAGTGATTTCAAAAAGTTATTAATAGGGTGTCGGAACTTGGAAGCCATATCGATAGCGACCTATAGGTATGATGATGAAACTTACGAAGCACACATTAATGAATTCCTCGAGATCTTGGAGGTGTTGGAAATTGATTTAAAATTGAGATTAAAGCTTTGCAAGATTGAATTCTATTATTCGTGGGGAATCGATATAGATGTGTTGGAAGTGTTCTTGAGAAAGAGGAAAGAGAGAAACCAGGATTTAGAAAAACATCTTCAGCAACCCTTATTATCATTCTATTTTCACAATTCGTTTCTTAAATCTGACATTGATTTTTCCGAATACATGGAGTTGAAGTTTAAACAATTTAAAAAAGAATGTTTAATCAAAGATTTTGGGATTAAGAAATATGACGATTTTCGATAGGTCGTGTTTAAAGTGGGTGGCTATGGTTGGCGAAGGGTGCTGTGGATAAAAAAAAAAAAAAAAGGATAATTGAATTGAAAGAACACTAGAATTCATTTTAAAAATTTTCAAATTCTTTGCTATAGGCGAGTGCGTCAATTTTTCCGTTTTTTTTTCGTTAGCGAATTTTTAAATTTCTTATTATTTATTATCATAATTATTATTTTGATGGATTTCACAAACGAAAACTTGAAGATGTCCAGTGATTTATAAGTAAAAAATGGAACCCAGATTATTTCTGATGTCCGCGAAAGGATCGTCGGCGATCTCCGTACAATTGCGGTGAATACCATCTTTTTATACAAGTCATTGTATATCCAATCGTGCCTAAAAAATAAAATAAAAGACACACAGAAGAGATGAATATCACTTATGTACACAAACTTTTAAGGAAGTCTGATAAAGAAAAAACAATTCGGCATTACTTGGTTACTGTGACAATGTCAACTCTTTTCTCACTTTACTACATACTCCGGGCGGCAAAATCTGATTATTTTCCTTTTTTAAACTGCAATGCCAAATATGGTTTTATTGCTAGGGACGCATCTTCCCGTGATCAATTACGTATCAGGAAATTTCATCAGCTCGTGGTAAATAGTACTATGACATTGGACGAAATGCTACTTTTGACAGTTTCTCTTAAAAATTGTTGACAATTGAAATCCAACTGTCGATTTTTTATAAATAGGCACCCTTCGATTATTTACTGGGAATGCTTATTTACCGGTTAACTCATTAATTACGTAACGACCCTCATTATTTTTCGAAAAGAAGAAATAATGGCAACTTTAAAAAAAAAAAAAACAATTAAATTACGCACCAAGCGCCGAATATTAGCGTGTCCATTTTTGTCGCGATTCACACTTACTGTAAACACCATTGTTGTTGTTTTTAATTAATTTTCAGCAAATCGCGAAATTCCTAATTACCATAATTTATTAATTAAAAAATTCACGTGATAATACACATTAACATTTTTTAAAAATATGGCGCCAAAAAAACGATTTTATTAATTTATTTTATTTTACTTTACTTTATAAAATAATAATAACAATATACATATAAAAAATGTCTCTAATATTAAATAAATGGTATAATACTCAAGATATTATTAAAAAATTTTATTTATTTATTTATTTAAAGTATTATAAAATAATAATTACTGTTATAAATATTTTATTGATCTTATTAGTCAATTGTATTTGTATTGTACAGTATATATTGTATATAATATTTAATAAAATATTTTTTTATTCTTTATAATCTTAGAACAAAATATTAAATACATGATAGAAATTATAAATTTGTGAAATTAATTTTTTTTTTCAAATAATTTTATGAAAAATATTTAAGGATTATAAAGAATTCTTATAAATAAAAAAAATTTTTTTATTAAAATTTAAAAAAATAACAAATAAACTTAAAAATTAATATACAAAATCAAATTTAATAAAATATAGTAAAAGAATATAAAAAACTTTTTATTATTGATTTTAACTTATTGTTAATTATTTTATATTTTAATATAACATATTTTAATATTTTAAAAAAAATTTCAAAATACTATATATATATTATTTATAATAATATAATGATATAATAATATAAAAAGAATAAAAAAAAAACTCTCATCTGTTTACTACTACCATATATCACTGCATACAATACCCGGGGGAATATTTTACTAGGAGGGAGGTAGTATTAGTGGCAGGATATATCATTATTATAAAATTCAAAATAATATTGTCTTACTTATTATTATAATACTGGGTAGTAATCAATTATCAAGTAACAATTTTCTTGAATACTATCCAATATTATTAGTAAGGGGTAGTATTTGGAAGGAGATATTGTATGCAGTGGTATATGGTAATTTTTTGAAAATTTTCTTTTATGATAATTTTCTTAAAAGAAGTACTTTTTTTCCTCTTTTTAATATATTATTTATGCCATAAACTCAAAAACATAAAGACTTTAAAAACTATTGTTATAATAGAAAAAGATCTTTAGTCAAAGGTCAAATAAGTTTGGAAATCTTATTTGTTTTTTGGTTGTATGAATAAAGATCTATAACAATATTTTTTTTTAACTTTGTCTTTGTGTATTTCTTTCTTTACTACTATTATGATAATCCTTCATATTCTTTTCAATATTATTATTTTTTTTCTAAAAAATATATTCAAGTAAAGTTTTGGATTTTTCTATTTGTTTTAATTAAATTCTTCTAAATTACTTCAAAATAATATATTTTATTGTATCATATTAACAATATTGAAATTTTTTTCAAAATTAAAAATCAAAATCAATTTAACTCTTTCAAATAATCTATATAATTTTAATAATCAATCTAATTCTAATACTTCAATTCAACAAAAATTAAATCAATATTAACCTGTTAGAAATAACAACAATAATAATATTATATAAAGACATATTAAAAACTTATTAAATTAAAACTAATTTCCTAAAAATCTTTTATATTACTAAAAAAAATATTTTTAATCTTAACTTAGCTATTTATGAATTACTTTTGATATAGTATCACTTTTATAGTATAATATAACATTAAAAGTTATATATGCAATAGGCTAATATTAACTTAAATAAATGTTTAATATAATAACAGTACTAATTATTTAATAAATAAAGTCTTGCATTTTATGTTTATCTACAACAATATATATATATATATAATATAATATAATAAATTAAATATAAAACAATTATTAAAAAAAAAAAAACTCTCTTCTGATCACATCTGTTTTATTAAAAATTTTCCTTTTATGATAATTTTAAGCAAGAAAAAATATTTTACACTCTTTATCGCAAGTGAGCTTCAGCTTAAGAACTCAAGAACCTTCAATACAACTGGCGCAGTGGGATGGAACCTCTGGTCAAAGTCTATTCAAGTTTGAGAGTCTTGCTTATCTTTCGGTTGCATGAGGAAAGGCCTGTAGCAGTTCTCTTTTTTTCAGTTCTCTTGCATTCCTCCTTACTCTTATTATACAGTGGTGGCCATAAATAATGGGAATTGTAAATTTATTTTTATTTATTTAAAAAAAAATATTTATTACATAAAA